CAGGGTGAAGGATCAAGGGTTTTGGGATTTAGGGTTTAAGGTTTAGGGGTTTAAGCTTTAAGGGTTTATGGTTTCGGGTTCAGGGTGAAGGATCAAGGGTTTTGGGGTTTGGGGTTCAAGGTTTAAGGTTTTCGGGCTTATGGTCTTGGGTTCAGGGTTTAGGGCTCATGGATTTGTGGTTGTCGGGTTGAGGGTTTACAATTGGGGTTACGGCTTTCGGGCTGCACATCTCATTTCCGCCCCAAACCCTACACCCTAAACCCTAAACCCTAAACCCCTACACCCTACACCCTTAACCCTAAACCCTAAACCCTAAACCCCTAAACCCTAAACCCGAAACCTGGCCGGGCCTGGGCCGGCGCTACGAATCCGCTCCCTACACCCCAAACCCTAAGCCCCAAGCCCTGTGTAGAACTCAGGGGGTTTGGGCTTGGGGCATGAAGTTTCGGGTTTATGCAGCTTCTGCTCACCCATGGACCGGCAATCATTGCTTAAGTCTACCTGAACTTCTAGGCATGCGACGCTTCAAGGCTTTTGTGCGCTCAGAGTTTCGCCCGTCTCTCCTGCGAATTTTCTACTTTGCACAAACAAACATTCGAGCTGCACATCCCGAAACTCAAAGCCCCAGGCCCGGAACCCTACACCCCTAAACCTCAACCCTAATTATCCCACAGACGCAAGCCCGAACCTTTGCACCTCTCCAGCTCAGCTCACGCGGGGAGGTCTGGGCTTTTTTTCTGCACGAAGACCGTGAAAGCAATGACTTGCACATGCGAGGAAGATGCAGAATGAAGACTTCCTCAATCCTACAGAAGCCTTATGGAGCCGTTATAGAGCCCTTTCATGAATCCTCATAGAGCCTTATATTCAATCCAGCGGAATAGAAAAGAAGGGCCCTAAACCCTACACCCTAAACCCTAAACCCTAAACCCTAAACCCTAAACCCTAAACCCTAAACCCTAAACCCTAAACCCTAAACCCTAAGCCCTACGCCCGAAAGGCCCCAGAAAGCCCCTAGAGAATCCTCCTATCAGCTCAGGTCTTCACCGTGCCATCCTCGAGCCTCCGTTTCTTGGACGCTTGTACCTCGGCTTTCGGGAGTTTGGGGTTTAGGGTTCAGGGTTTAGGGTTTAGGGTTTAGGGTTTAGGGTTCAGGGTTTAGGGCTCCTGAAACCTAAACCCTAAACCCTAAACTGAGGC